CCATTTCATACTCCAATCGGTAAGTTTAAAAGTTCTTGCCATTCTGGACAACACCGAAGTCTTGTTTGATGTATGCATATCCACTTCAATCTATATGTGTTGGAGTGGATTGGAATTGAACTTAATTTAATTTCACTTCAACACATGTGGATTGAGATGAATACATGCGCATCCAAACAAGGCCTAAAGAGATGTTTGGCATGGCTCCTCTTGAGAGGCTCCACCGGAGGAGCCAGAGCCGTTTTTTTTACTGAAAAATGGCTCCTCCAGAAAAACGTTTGGCAGGGCTCCGTCGCAGGAGCCAGAGACGGAGCCGGGGAGGAGCCCTACCAAACAGGCCACAGCGGCTTCAAAGTATATAGTTTTGATTATGAAGTATTTCCACCTCTTTCCTTTAAGCTTCCTTATTTATTTATTTATTTTATCCTCATTCGAAATAATACAAAAATATATTGATCTTAATGGGACAATCGTGTTTGTTCATCCTTTTACTTGTTTTCTCCTCATTCCTTTTTTTGCAAGATATACTGATTTTCAATATTTTCTTCTTCATTTTTTAGTTTTTTCAGTCATTTGCTTAAACTTTATTGACTCAACATTTAAAAATAGTGCACTCAACATTTTCTTAAAGTTGGCTAAACCTTTTTCCATTTTTTTACTCCAACTTTTAAAAATAGTTTAATAAATTTTAAATAATTATGACTTGAAGTTTTTGGGATTGTTTACTCAACAATTTTCTATTTATTGATCGCACATTTTTATAAGTTCTCAAATTGTTGATTCATTTTTTTGTTCACACATGATTTTAAAATTTTCAAGATATTTGTGTTTATGTTGAGTCATGATTTGGAAATTGTTGACTTGGCTTTTTTCGAATGCCTTTCTTTTTCTTTCTATTAACCTTTACGACTTCTTGGCTCAACATTTCCAAATTATCGTCAAAATATTTATTTAGATTTCTCTTTTGTAAATCGTTGACTCAACATTTTGAAACTACTCAATAATTTGATTTAACATTTTGCACAGTAAAAATTTTCATATTTGACTTGTCCATTTTTATTTAATATATTTTACAAAATTAGAATAGTGTTTTTTATATTCCCTTCTTTTTTTTTTTTTATTTAATTTATTCAGAATTTTATTATGCTTGATACAAAGTTTCTCTTCAAGAATGAGGAAATAAGGTTTTAATATATTTAAAAATTGTAATGTACGAGTAGGAAAGGACATATAAAAAATGAAGTGATGCATACTAATCTAATGATACTTATTTAGTATTATAAGTGTTAATATTTTTTATATAAATGTGATGAAATTTAAAATTATTTGACATCTAAAAAACAAGAATTATACTCCCTCCATACTAAAAAATAAAGTCATTTTGGACAGCGACACGGTCTTTAAAGTATAACTTTGACTTCTTATTTTTATAAAAAATATTTATCGAAAAGGGATATATGTATATTTTTATGAAAGTATTTTTCAAGACAAATCTATTCGTATGGTTTTCACATTTCCAAACTCAACAACTTAAAAGTTATTCATGATTTATATTCCCAATGTTTGACCCAAATCTTGTCCAAAACGACTTCTGCCCTGTTCGTTTGGCTGATAAGCCATGGCTGAAAGTACTATTAATTAATTTATTGTGAGAGAAAAATACTATTCATTTGCTGAAAAAATACGGCTTATAAGCCAAGTGATCAGGGCATTCATTTTTAGTACAGAGTGAGTATTATATTTTCATTAGGAGAGAGAGAGTATAATTGACCCGATACAGAATAGAACGTAAAAGATTCCGTGGGCTGAAAGGTTGGTAGCTTTGCTAAAGAAGAAAATGTCCTCTCCAGAGAAGCTAGATTATGCTGCAGAAGTTTCGTAGAGAACGAGTTGCCTCTTAGCTAGATCTTAATTTAACTAATTTATGATCGAAAACGTTCAGCCACGTGCGTCCATCCCGTCCGGATGTGGCTCCAGTCTGCACAGCGGACCAACCTCTCAAAAAAAATCCTCACACTCCGCTCATCCGCCCGTCACGACGTGGCTGAGCAGTTCGGGCCGCTCATCCATTCGCCCCGCCACGCGTCTTTCCCCAACCGCGCCCCGTCTCCCGCCGCGGCATTGCGCCGTGCCCTTCCCCCTACCACACCGCACCCCCATCGTCGGCTGCGCCGCATGCCCATCCCCTACGAGCGGACGGCGCTGGACGACTACGGTCGAGCCAGCAGTAGCGCTGGAGTAGAAGCAACAGGGCCGCGCCGACGGTTGCGAGCCTGGGCCTCGAGCAGGCGTTGGAGAATCGTAGGAAGGCCGCGCCATTGCAGCACCGGTGAGCTCCATTCGCCGCCGCTGATCTCCACGAACGACGAGCGTCCATTCGTCTAAGCAGAAAAGTGACATTGTGCTGAAAACGCATGTTGCAAGCGCATGTTTCAGGTATTTTATCTATATGTTGCAAGTATTTTATTTGGATATTGTAAAAGTATATTAAAATATTGCACATGTTGCATATGTTGTAAGTGTTTTATAGGTACGTTGAAAGCGTCTGTTTCCAATATCTCATCTGTTTCAGATTTATATTGCATGCGATTTATCTGGATGTTACATATGTTTCACACATATGTTGCAACTATTTTATCTGTATATTGCGTATGTTTGCAATGTTTTTCAAATGTTTTCGTGTGTTTTTTTTCAAGTGTTTCAGACTCATGTTTCGTGTATTTTATTTGTCTTCATTTTGTATGTCGCAAGTGTTGCATCTGGATATCTTAAAAGTAGATCGGGTGGTGCACATGGAATACGCGTGGGAAGCGTGAGGGACGCGCGGCGCACGCGATGTCCGGGTGGCGCGGCCCCCGTTTGGGCGCACGAAACGCAGGCACGTACGAGCGACGTCCGGACGACACGAGCCCTGCGTGGACATGCGAAATGGAGACGCGAAAATGAACTGCAGCCATGGACGTCCGTCAAACGTCCGGGCGCTAGAGTGCCGATTTATGATCTACCACCAATAATGAGGGGGTGTTTGGATCCGGTGACTAAAATTTAAGAGGTGTCATGTGAGGGTGTCGTATAGAATGTTCGGATATTAATAAAATAAATAAATTACAGAATCTGTCGGTACTCCACGAGACGAATTTATTAAGCCTAATTAATCCGTCATTGGCATATATTTACTGTAGCACTACATTGTCAAATCTTAGACTAATTAGGCTTAAAAGATTCGTCTCATAAATTAATCGTAAGCTGTGCAATTAGTTTCGTAATTAGTTTATATTTAATACTTCATATATGTGTCCAAACATATGATAAAACAACGACTAAAATTTAGAGGAGAAACCAAACACCCCCCACCCCCTCCCCGAGTCCCGTGCCAACTCGATCGCTGCCCTACCACTGCCGCGGTAGCTTGATGGTGGTGCACGGGAGAAGGTTTATCTGCCAAGAAAGCACTGGACCGACTGGTTCGTGGGTCGTGGCTTACTTGCGTCTGCCATCTTCGTCTGTGCCTTGATGGCCTTGTCGTGGGCTCTCGTGGCCCAATTTTAAGGCCCTTGTCCCTCCGTATGAAAATCAGACACCTCAAAGAGGAAGAGAGAGAGAGAGAGAGAGAGAGAGCACCGCAAATATGGCTTCCCTGTGTAAGCTTTCTACTCTCTATCCAAAAAGAATATATAAATTTCGTTTTCGGGACAGTCAATCAACCTCGAGTTATTTAACATCTATAAAGAGTACTACTCCACTAAAATCACTACAACATTTCTCCATTTATACTTGAAGCTAAAAAAAAAGTATGCTCCTCGTTGCTCTCCTCACCGAAATCACCCGCCACATGCTCCTCCACCAAAATCGCTACAACTGAGAATCAAAGCTAAGAATCACTTCTCCATTTACACTACGAGCGGAAAGCTAAAAAAATCCACACTCCACCGCCACTTGTTTAATCCCTTCCAGACTCACTTCTTCCCACCTACTAACCCACCAGCGTCACTCTATTAGAGCTAAAAATCAGTGGGTGTAATTCCACCAAATAAGCCACCCTCCCTTGGGATCTACTGGGAGGCTCATCGGAGTTGCAACCGTTTTTACTCACTCGATCGATCTTGCCGCGACTCACCATCCAGTTACCACTACGCGAGATCCAAAACCCAAACGGATTCCCCTTGAACTGAACACCATCGAGATAGTATTCAGTTACGCAGCAGCAGCAGCAGTTTATATTACATTCCCCAACGAAATGGATCTGATGCCTTAAACGTTACGTATCCTCAGCTCGATTGCATTATTCTGTTGCACACTCCTAAGTACGATCAGTCCGCCTCTTATGTATTCACCCCATACGGGCCTCGATGTGCAGAGACCGGCGGCCGCGGATGCTCAACCGAGTATGATGCTAGCGTGGGATGTCGACGCTGGTCCTGTGTTTACTTGAGCTTGAGCATAGCATGCATACACCTTACTGACACTGACATTCAACTCTGACTAGATCGAGCTCGTGTAGACGAACATGGCTACTATAGCTAGGGATTTATGTACAATTTACACACACAATCTAACGCACCTGGAACTCTGTAATTAATTAATTAAGGAAGTTATCGATCTGGACTGAACTGTGCTGATCGACTGATGCTGTAAACGAAGCAGTTGTTCGCTTGCAGTGCACTCCAAGCCACATGCGAGCTCATCATGTCTTGCCCTCGATTCCCCGGCGAGGCCTCCTGATTTCCGCGCAACTTTGAAGGATCTCCGCTGATCCACAAGCCAAAACGGCAATCACGAGCAATGCAATGTAATCTCACACACCAAGCTAGGAAATCAGAGGAGTTGTTAGCTACTGCTATAAATTGCAGCCATCTCGCTTCCGGTCTTCGCAACCTGCTGCTGCTGTATCCTAGCTAGCTAGCACTGTACGTCAGTACGTGTAGCGTACGCTGCAGCTGGGCATTGGCTGGCTAGCTTTTGTAGGCAAAGAAAGCAAAGGCTACCACACGACGACGACGATGGCTATGCTCGCCAACAAGTGCGTGCTGCTGTCCCTCTCCGCCGTGCTCTTCTCCCTCGTCGGCGGCGCCTCCGCCATGCTGAGCAGCCTGCCCCCGCCCCCGCCGACGGTGAACTTCAGCATCGGCGTGCAGGGCGTGGTGTGGTGCAAGTCGTGCAGGTACCCCGGCTACTTCGCGCCCATGGACGCGTCTCCACTCCCAGGTACGTTCAGTATTGTCCATTGTTGTCAGTACTCCTGAACAAACGTCGAGACGACAATGCAAACGACGCCTTTTGCCCATGCATGCGTGCAGGCGCGAAGGTGTACCTGCGGTGCAAGCACGGGCGGCGGGCGGTGACGGTGGCGGGGCAGTCGGGGCCGGGCGGCTACTTCCTGATCCAGACGTCGCAGCAGGTGTCGGCGTTCACGAGCCAGCAGTGCCGGGTGTACGTGCCACGGTCGCCCGTGCGCGCCTGCGGGGTGCCCGCCTACCCGGCCGGACGCAAGGGCCTGCCGCTCAAGTTCCAGGAGTTCGTCAAGCGCGACAACGGCCTGCAGGGGATGTACTCCGTCGGCAACCGCTTCTTCCGCCCCAAGTACCCGGGCAAGTGCTACTAGTAGCTAATGATCAACGACGACCGACCCACCAGACCCAAGATCACCCGGCATGCTGATGCTAGGCTAGCAGTAGCACGCACAATGCAAGGCGTCCAGGTCTTAGGGTACGTTTGATGCCAGCAGGGACATGAATAAAAATAAGCTAGGTTAATTATTGTCTCTTTGAGATCGTTGAGTTAGTTGGGTAATTTTAATTTAGGTACTAGCTAGTGTTGGTTGGTGCTTAACCGTTTCTATTGTTATGGATTGGAAAACTAGTTCTTCCTGCTGCTTGGTCGATTGGATAGATTTATGTAATAAGAAGAACGATTGAGCACCTGCCTGTTTTTGCGCTATTAATTACTCCACTTCTCCTATATTTCAGGTGTTTGAATTTTAAGATGATTTCAGGCAACACTCTTATACTATCAATTAGTACAAGTAAAGTTATTTATTTTTTATTTTTCTTTGTGTCATAACATATCAAATTTTTGTTCTTGTCTAACTCTAGAAATAATTGTAAATTGTTAATTTTTCTTTGTGCCAACACATATTAGATTTTGTCTGGTTTGTGGTTTTGTCTAATGGGTTTTTTATTCTTGAAACAAAAAAATTGCAGATAGTGTCTACAGAAATTGAAGTGAATTAGAACTGCAATTTTAGTATAGAATATATGCAATAATTGTCGTCTGAAAGAAAACTAAAATTCAGGCAACTGAAATTTAGCAAATCTCTAATTACTCTGCATAGTTATGATACGCAAATCTTTTGCGTATTCGAAAAAAAATACTCTTATCTATTTTTAAAAAAAATAAATAATACAAAGGTTCTAGCTTTAAATAAATCCCTTCAAAACTCAAAAAGAAGAGACATCGGTACACATTTATTATGAATATAACCTAGATCTACATAGTTATTCCTTCTGGAAGTGAACTAGCGGGAAAAAAAATACTTTGGTGCAAGCGGCTTCTGTTTTCAGTGTGGAACGCTGTAATTTGTAAGCCCAGAAGAACTGCTTTGAACGTCACTTGGGTCATTGGGCCAGGCCAGCCCTATAGTTACACCTGAAATGGTTGGCAGGAAGGTTGCAAAGCCCAAAAGGTGATGGGCATAGTAGGATAAGCCTGGCTGTAATAACTAATAACTGTACAACAAACCAAAGCTAAATAAGCCTACTTGTTTCGTTGAATCTGTTTTAAGCAAATTTTGAAAATAAAACAAAAAACGGCCTCGTGCGTCTTGTAATTAAGAGAGAAAAATCGAGGCGGGCAATAAGTCATAACTATCAGAACGGAACGGAACGGACAAAAAAGTGGACGACGGTTGCAAGAAATAGAGATACCCAAGAACATGGTTTAGAAATGAAGATGGGTCGCCCCTCACATCATCACATTCGTGGAGAGCGTACACGCGCATGCATTTATGCCGGAACAAGATAAAGCGCTTGTTGCTTGATTCGTTCGTATACGACAGATCTGTATGTGTACGTCAGGGACCGTCGCGTGAGGCTCTATTGGCTTGTGGTACCGTAGCAGTAGCTTGTCCTGTCCGATTTCGAACGTGTAAGTGTATATGAGGCGATTTCGTCGCACATACCGTACCTTAATTGGCAGCTCTCCTCGATCTCGTCTTCGATTGATTGATCTATCCGCTCCCATCGTTCTCTCGCCTCTCTCCATCTCTTTCGTTCCATCTTCACCTCGAACTAGCATGCATAGCCATAGCCCCACGCCCCCCCCACGCTTGGCTGTTTCTGCCAAGTGCCAACCAGCCTCGTGATAGCTGTAGCCACTTTACGTACGCACCAAAATCAGGCCTCAGATGCATGGTCCTTGCTCTGCGATCTCAACCAAACGTCCAATGATTGAGTGACAAACACGCGCTACATCTAACCACAGCTGAAGCTTCGTAAGCAGTACACCAAGTCCAGGTGCAGTTGACGCCGAGCCGATGGATCCACGGACCAAACGGGGGAAACACAGGCCACTGAAACGTCGTTTCAGAGAAAGGCACGTGATGTCCACTGAAAAGCCACAAGAAGTCGACGGGTACTGCGCGGTGCGGATGCACGGCACCCTCCCACTTTCTTTTCTAGCAATAAACCGCTTTAGCTCCAGCTCCGGCATCATCAAATCAAACGTGTAAACGTGCTGTCTCACCTGCCGAGCACTCCTCGCCATCGCACCGACGGACCGGACCGGACCGGCGGACCCCGTCCTGTGCCTGCGATGCGAAGTGCCAAATGGAAGGCAAGCACGGCGCCGACCCACACTAGCGCTCGGTCGCTCTCGCTCCCCAGATCAGGTCGGGGCGGGGCGGCGGTACGTCGTCGTCGTCTCGCTGACGTCCGGCCTCAACGTCGGTTAGTTACGTTAGTTTTCGGTTGATTTGGGTCGGCTCGTATTAGTTTGGTGTGAGAGAAAAACGTTGTTACTTGGTTGATTTTGGCTGGCTCAAACCAACGATTAAACTGGAAGGTGGCCACGTTTATTTATTAACTAGATAGCGTGTCCGTACGTTGCTACGGGACAACTAAATCTTTTATATTAAAAACATACGGATCGTACGATAAGATAACAATCACTGTTAAATTAAATATCAACGTTAAAGTGACATTTAATTAAAAAAGCAAAGGCCTCGTTCGCTTGTCTTAAAAATAGCTTGTTCGACTTCTTTTTTCAGCCGGAACAGTGTTTTTCTCTCACAATAATTCAGCCGGAACAGTGTTTTTCAGCTAGTTTCAGCCAAATTTCAGACCAGCGAACGGGGCCAAAGTTCGTGAAATTAACACAGTCACGTAGAGCGAGGCGTCGTAGGCTCACAAACTCTACTGTATAGACTTTTTCATGATATGTCTAAGATAATATTTTATATCGGCAGAAAGAATTCTCGATATCCATTTCTTTCATGAGCCAATAAATCCATGAATAAGTTCCGCTGCATCTCCATATAATCATGTACACACAGGTTTGAGTATATATGTAAATATTAGTGCATGTCACATGGATAATACTGCGTGTCTTAAAAAATCTCATAAAATTTTAAAATAAAGTATGTTATACTCATCGTACAAATATGTGTGGCTTTAGGACTTTTCCACACAGACATATATTGTAGAATAAAATATTCACTTGAGTGTCTGTTCCAAAATATTGAATTAGGTGTTGTAATTCTTAATTTCGACACATTTTTTAGGTCAAGGCTATTAATGGTGACACTTTTTTTAGTGGTGCATAATTTTATGGTGCACCTCTTGACTATCTGAGTAAGGACAAGTTAGCACTGCAAAGGCTCAGAAAAGCTGCTGAGAAGGTCAAGATTGAGTTTTCCTGATGCATAATTTTATGGTGCACCTCTTGTCGATACTATGCATACTAAAACCTATATCCCCGTTTATCATTGTTGATACTTTTGATGCAAAGCAATTCAACATTACCATGATCAGATATAAGTTTGAGTCTCTTGTGAGCAATCTCATAGAGGGACTCTCATTCTTTATGTGATCTGTCTTAAGTATATTGGCAGGACGATGGACCCATGTTGGAATGTCGCACAAAAAAATGTCCACGTTTTGTCCACGATTTATTTCCCATGAATACATGCGGGTACTATGATAACACTAACTACACCAAATGAAAGATTAGAGAGAATTTGCATTGCCTCTAGAAGGATTTATTTATTAAGTTCTTTGACTCTACAGGTAGTTTTGAAATATCTGTTTGCATGTCTTACCTCGTATCCTAATTTAAAATTTTGTAGTTTAATTAGAATATGGGGAAATGATTCAAAATGAACAGACCCAGGGTCAATTTCAGCAAGAAATAGCAAGCGAGGGCGATGAAACACGTGAGCGTGAAACCAAATGAAAGGAGGAAAAAGCTGTTCCTTTTGAAAATGCAAAGATAGGAAGTAATTAAATGTAGGCACATATGGCAAGGTTCTCAGAAATGTAAAGAGGTTATTTTTGTCTTAATTCTCTTTGCTTCTGTGTTAATTTTCTTTTTTTTCTCGTTGCTATGTATGCTGGTGTATGTAAATATGCAATGTGTATATAGATAGCACAATAATTTTCTACTTCCTATTTTATCGTGATTTCTCAATCACATGACAGACAATATTTAATCAAGGAGAATCGCAAAAAAAAAACGCAGCATGCGAGAGATATCGTGGGATCGCAGGCGTGGACACAGGAACGAAATAAAACAAATGTCAAAAAAAAAAAGTCAGTTGTAGGAGATTAACCGTCCGCCTACGTCTAGCCGGTCAGTGTCAGGCGCAGCGCAGTCAGCCCCAGTCGCCCGTGGCGGAGGAAGCAGACGAGGCGAGGTGAGGAAACCAGCGCGACTGCGCGAGGAACCGCCCCCCAAGAGCGAGCGCGTCGTCCGTCTCGGCTCGGCTTCTCTCGCCTCGCCTGGCACTGGCACGCGCAGAATCGCATCGCATCACGAGCTCGCTCGCTCGGCTGGCGCATCACCTACCCCCCCGCCCGGCTCCGCTGCCCGCTCGCTCTCCGATTCCGAACAGGCAAACCGCGTCGCCGCCCGCCCCCGCCGCGCCGCGCTTCTAACCCCCACCCAACTCTGCCTCTGCCTCCGATCCCACGCGCCCCGCGCGTTGAGTATCCATCCGCCTCGGTTTGCCCCCCGCGCATCTGAATATCTGATCTGGTTCCCACCCGCGGGCACCGCACCGCATCGCCGCCGCCGCAGCCGAATCTCGCGCGCGCGGCGCGGGATCTCGCGGGCCCCGGGCCCCACGATCCGGCGATTGGGATGAGAGTGGGGCGCCGGCGGCGATGACCGGCACGGCGGCCTCGCTGGGCCTGCGGTCCGGGAGCTACGGCTCCCTCGCGGCCGTTGTCGTCGCCGGCGGGAGCGGCGGGAGGAAGGCCGGTACCGCCGCGTGCCGTCCGCTGCGCGGTGAGAAGGAGCGCCTGCAGCTGCTGCACCGCGCGCTGCGGCTGGTCGGCCGACGCAGGGCCGGCGTGCTCCTGCTTCTCGCCGTCGCGTCCGCCGCCGTCTTCTGCTCCCTCTTCGCCGTCGTCAAAGGTCAGCGCTCCCACCCATCCCCGCTAGCTTGCTCGTCTCCTCTCCTCTCCTCTAATGCTGCTGCTTCTGCGCGCGTTTGGCGCTCTGCTTTGCCGGCCTGGTCCTTGTGATGTGGGTGACTTTTACTTTAGAAGATACTAGAGCAGTGTGCTGGGGTCATGCAGCTGGCGTTTACAGAATTTGAACTGGCTGGTTATGTTTTATAAACAATGGGGAACAATCGTGTGTGCATACTCCACTCCGTGTAGAGGATGCTGTCAAATGCTTGCACCTGTTACAGGGTCATGCAGCTGGCGTTTACAGAATTTTAACTGGTTTGTTATGTTTTAAACAATGGGGAACAATCGTGTGTGCGTACTCCACTCCGTGTAGAGGATGCTTTCCGCGCTGATAGTGTGACGACCCCCTTCTCACTTCTCGTGTCGTAGTCCTGTGTCTTCGTGAAAAACTGGATATTTTGTGGCTAATGACCTGGTCTACTGCAAGGTAGTGTGTAATTTTTGGTTTGGGTAATTATGTTTCATGCTGAACTGCTGATGGCTATGGATATGGCTAGAATGATTAGGGAATTTGCCTGAGATGTTTTGGGTGTTTTTTTGAGCTGAACTATGTTATGCTTGTGTCTATCTTGCATGTCCTTTAGCAATTGATTTTGCTGTTAATTGAGATGGCCAAACCAGGACACTTGTTTGCTGATCCATAGCCATCAATGGCCATTTCAGTTCCCTGCTCGTGTTGTATGCCTTTTGTTAAAATGTGCAATGTCTGCAGGAATTGTCAAACAGATGTTTTCTATTGGAATGTGCCTTGTGGTTACAAAGTACTATGCCACTGACTGTTTTCCTCATAACTTGTTTCAGATGACAGTAATTCAATTAGTATTGTAAATAATTACGAAGTCCCAAATGCCATACAGAAGTCAGTGTATCCCAGCACAACACGGCCTCTAATGATGTCCGGAAACCAATACTCCACCAGTGTTGTCAACAAAATCGAGCTTCCAAATCGGCTTCATCTTTCATATGCAAACTTCACACTTCCTTGTGAAGGTTTCTCATTTCCTCCTCCCCTGGTTGATAAGAAACGCACTGGACCCCGACGTAAGAGTTGTTATTGTATTTTTCTACTAGCCTTGGAAATTAATTTGTAAATGATCACTGATCGTGTTTTCTGTTTCTCATTTCCCTGTAGCATGCCCTGTTTGCTATGTTTCTGTGGATCAGGCATTTGCCTTGATGCCCCTACAAGCTTCACCGTCACCTGTCCTAAAGAACTTAAACTATGTATCAGAAGATGCTATTACTGCAAATTTATCAAATCAGGGGTCTGGATTTGGAGGGCATCCATCCCTGGAGCAGAGAAACGAATCTTTCAACATTAATGAATCAATGACTGTCCACTGCGGGTAGGTTACATGCATCCCTTGTCCAGATTAAATCCGCACTTATTCAAAATAAATGTAGTTTCAAACATGAATACTGAAGTGAATGTTCTATACTATTTCTATCAGCTTTGTCAGAGGAAAGAAGCCTGGCCAAGGTACTGGATTCGATATCAAGGATGATGATCTGCTAGAGATGGAGCAATGCCGTGAGCTAGTCGTAGCTTCTGCTATTTTCGGTATGCATCATTGTTCGCTAATAGTATTAGCTCTTTGTCCTCAAAAGGTGTCTTCACTGTGATTGCAATGAATTTCTCTGCTCACTATTTGTATACCATTGCTCAGGAAATTATGATATGATTCAACATCCAAGGAACATCAGTGAATTTTCAAAGGCGAATGCATGTTTTTATATGTTTGTCGATGAAGAAACAGAGGCTTATATCAAGAATTCTAGTTCTCTGTACAGTAATAATAAAGTTGGACTGTGGAGGCTGGTTGTTGTCCGAAACCTCCCTTACGAAGACCCAAGGCGTACGGGAAAGGTGCCTATCTTATGAATTGCGATATTCAACATTTATTCCTTATGATTTGTGCTTCTACTATCAGCAATTCAGCACCCATTTTAAGAATCAACAAATGGGTACGGGAAAGCAGTTGGTTTTGTCATTTATACCTAATGAACATGAATCTCATATCAATCTAAATACAACGAACTTCTTTTGGATAAGAACTACAATGTTCATATAAGCTTTTAATCGTAGCCATATCTTAGAACATCATAAGAAATTTGGGATAACTTAAGTGCCAAATGTACACTATGAAAAAATGTGGATAAAGTGATAGTCTGTATTTTTGGCAAACTTATTGAGCGAGCTACCATGCAATTATGCTATTGTGTTATCCATCATTTCTGTATCATAGGTACTCCACTTATGCTGGCCTATATAACTGATTTTTGTTAGAGGCTCTTTTGCCTTGACTTAGCTGTTGTAACCTTTATTTGTTTTCAAATAGGTAACTATTCTTATGATTTAGTAGTCAAGGCCACTCATCATGAGAGAAGGCATAAATTTCACCTTTTATGTGTTTTCTAGGTGTTCAAAGTTGTTTAAAGTAATTCCTTCCAGATGTCTGAAAATTCTTCTATATATAGTTTTAGCTTCATTGACGATAGTAGTAGTTTGATTGCAGGAAATGTATTTTTGCATCAGCATGGCTACCTTCTTATATGCACATTGTTTTGATCAAGTTAAATGGACAAATATTTATCTGTGCAGATTCCAAAACTTCTGCTCCATAGGCTTTTTCCAAATGTGAGGTTTTCAGTTTGGATAGATGCAAAACTTGAGCTTGGTGCGGATCCCTATCTCCTGCTTGAGAGGTATTCTTGATGTAGAGAGCTTTACTTGTAGTGTCCTACATTTTGATGGTTCTATTCTTAAAGAGAAAATCTGGAACGACCTGTCAATTTGAGGAAAGATAGATAAATTTGGGGCTGTCCTGCACCCTTGCAACTTCACTTTTAGTTCTTATAACCAATACTATCGTGAACTGGTTACAGCAGATTTGGATCTCTGTGTGTGTTGGGGGGGGTTCTTGTATTTGTATCTTATCATATTATTAGTACGCCATTTATTTGACTGTTCTATGATAATTGGACTTTGTAAGTGATAATGAGTAATCTGATTTCTTGCTCTACCTATTAGGTTCCTGTGGAGGAAGAATACCACTTTTGCAATCTCTCGGCATTACAAACGTTTTGATGTGTTTGAAGAAGCAGAAGCTAACAAAGCTGCTGGAAAGTATGACAATGCTTCAATTGATTACCAAATAGAGTTTTACAGAAATGAGGGCCTAACACATTATTCTCCTGCTAAGCTTCCCGTCACAAGTGGTCAGTTATCTCATCAGTGATCAGATTATGGTAATGGCACTTCAGTTTCTTGCTGAAATCCTAATGTTGCCCCTTTTGCTTCACATGCAGATGTCCCTGAAGGCTGTGTGATCATCAGAGAACACACCCCCATCACGAACCTCTTCACGTGCCTGTGGTTCAATGAAGTTGACCGCTTCACCGCCAGGGACCAAATAAGTTTCAGCACCGTCCGGGACAAAATCAGGGCTAGAGTTGGCTGGATGCCTGAAATGTTCTTGGACTGTGAAAGGCGCAACTTTGTCGTTCAGGTATTGCCGCTGACCCAGAACCCATTATTTGGTCCTCCCCCACCTTTTTCTGTTGCACGGCTGCCTGACAGTTAGTGCACAAATAAACTAAAAACCCAAGTGGCCCTTTTAATTTGGGTGTACTCCTACCGGCCGCACATGCTAAGCTCACAAGTACATCTGTCTCTGTTAACATTGCACCAGGCGTACCACAGGGAGCTACTGGAGCAGATGATTGCGTCCGGTAGGATGTCCCCATCTGCGGCGGCGGCGACCGACGCACCACCATCTCGGAAAGTCCGGGCTGGCAGCAGGAAAGCTCCTCCGTCGAAGAAGCCCTCCGTGAAGCGGAAAAAGGAGAAGAAATCGAGCTCGCGACGGCGTCTCCCGAAACCCGTCGCCGGGGGGTTGGGTGCGATGTGACGTAAGTTTTCCTCAGTACCAGAGTCTGGATACTCCCACACAGTCACACTTACACAGCGTGTACCGGAATACAAACAATGTTCCTTTAGGGCTGGGGCTTGTAATCGTGCCCCGGCGGAATTTGTTCATAGTTATTCATCATTGTTGTACATAACAGCGCCAAACCAATATTCAATTTTGTTCATTGATATTATGCTCAGTTCCATTGATGTTATGTTCCCTGCATATAGGCAGTTCGCCCTTTATTATTTTGTAAATTTTGTGCAAGTACTACTTGTTCAAAAGGTTGCCCCGGCGATTCGGCGTATGTCCTCACAGTCACGGGTCAGCAGGTCCTGGTCAGGTGGGGTTGTGAAGCCATGGACCAGTCTGCGCTAAAAGTCGCCCTACCAGACGTGCCGCAGTCACAATCACTGCAACCAGACGTGCCGCTGGTTACGAAGAAGTTAAAAGATTTGCGCCCTAAAAAAAGTAAGAAAGCTTGTACTGGTAAAAAAAAGTTAAAAAAGAAATCAATAAGAAAGCTTGTACTGGTAAAAAAGGTTAAAAAATAATTCAGTAAGAAAGGTTGTACTGGTAAAAAAGTTAAAAAAGAAATCAGTAAGAAAGGTTGTACTGGTAAAAAAAGGTTAAGAAAACTGGTAAAAAGTAATCGCCCACCGTGGGGCTCGAACCCACGACCACAAGGTTAAGAGCCTTGCGCTCTACCGACTGAGCTAGACGGGCCGCTTGCAGTGAATCAGTAATAAGAAGTATAATAATTAAATTACCTGCCAGAGAGTATGCAGCTCGCAGTGACCAGTACTTAGTACTGTAATATATCTAAATTACGTGCCAGAGAAATTTCAGGCTCTACCGACTGAGCTAGACGGGCAGCTTGCAGCGAATCAGTAACTGTAATATATCTAAATTACGGGCCAGAGAAATTTCAGGCTCTACCGACTGAGCTAGACGGGCAGCTTGCAGCGAATCAGTAATAAGAAGTCTAATATTTAAATTACGTGCCAGAGAAAGTAGGCAGCTCGCAGTGAATCAGTAATTAGTCCTGTAATACATCTAAATTACGTGCCAGAGAAATTTCTTTTTGGTCATTGGATGGGGACCCAGCCTTGCTTAACTAATGGCATGTCTAGAGAATGTTTAGTGCACACAAATGGTAGCATGTATGAAAATGGAGTAAATCATCCTCCAGTTTAAATATATATGAATGAACTAATTAGCATGTCCTAAAGTTGTATGTTTAAAAACGAACGAAAGGTGCATAAACAATGTCCCCATGGGCCATGGCTGTAGCTAACCAAAGCCATGGGGAGTTGGAAACAAACAGGTGAAAAGCAACACAGACATGTAGAGCTGCAGAGACTGATAGGTATCAGCAGGGCGTTCACCGCAAGCGGCAAGGCAACCAACAGCAGCCATGATCACATAGCGTGGTACCATTGAGGTTTGAGGAGTACAAACTAAGCACGAGACAATGCAGAAAGATAACCAGTTTTATCTACAGCTTAGAACAAAAATCATTTGCAGCACTTTGAGGCCATTCAGCACAAGCTTCGAGAGCTCAGCCTAACCATGACAAAGGCACTCTGCCGCAATAACAACTGGCCACTGATGTTGCATTTGAGCACAGTTCGGCTTTAAGCACTCAGACATCGGCAAGAGGGTCTGATCGCAGTGTACAACCGACCTGCTACTCTACAATCTAGAATCACAATGCCTCTTCTTCAAGCATGTCTAGGAAACATTTAGTGTCTGTCTTCTGGAAGCGCGCCTTATCAAAGTGCAGCTCATTGGCTGAAGCCGCCTCAAATCGAGTCCACAGTTCTTTCTTGAGAGTAGTTTCTCCAGCCAACCTTCCCTTCAGGTTCGTGCTTTCCAAGCCTTTCCAGGGGGTACCAAGCAAGGCCTTGCTATGCACAGCAGGGGTTTGGATGGGCTTGTCATCTGGAACATTCAGTTTTCCCTCCATGTTAGTCCAAGCTGGAGTTGGAAGTGGATTATTGTCTGATGGGTCTGTTAACACCATGGTCTTTAATGGTGATAGAAACCACTCAAGAGGATCTTCGGCTTGTCTGGTGGGTCGATTGAGCCCATAAATGTCATACCTTGATGCCAGATCTTTTGAGATTTCATCAGATGATGATCCAGAACGTTTGTCATCCCCAGTTGGACCATTGCTGTCAATATCTTCCTTCCTTGAGCCCTCCGGGATTGGAGAGAACAACTGCTGCTTGCTAGATAATGCTGTCTTCAGGCATGATTTAGGTAGTGCTCTGCTCTTCTGAATTGAGGAAGTGCAAGGCGAACAGAGCTTGTCTTCTAGTGAGACCTTGTTTGCTGGAGCAACATGAGGTGTCATGGTGCCAGTCCATGATTCCTTTACCTTCACACTTTGCTCTAGATCAGGATCATTATCATCAGAAATGGCTAACTTTGAAACAGGTCTGACAAGATTATTCAACTGGTCAATGCTAGAAGCTGTCTTCATCTGGGTTTTTGATGTTGTGCACCTTGATGAGCATGCTTCTGTTTTTGGCAATGGTGTCAAGTGAAACAACTGCTTTCCGCTCTCAACCATACACGATCCAGTGTGCCATGAGACAAGTGGTGAAGGTGAGACAATCATGTCGGCCTCAGTAAAGTTGCTGCAAGGTGACTCTACTGGATCTGTATCAGGTAGCTTGCTGCTGCCACTGATCAACTTGCCATTCCCTTTTGCAGCAGTATTTAGGCACGTTCCTGGTGTGTTTTTAGAGATAGCTTCGGTTTCCACCGGACCAGTCTCTAGTGCTTGCTTCAGTCTGGAAGACCATTGCTGCTTACAAAGAAAAAGCACGATGGTAAAGAGAACTGCAATACCAGGGACTCATACATAGAGGATAATGAAGGATTTGATTACAGTACACACCTTGAAGGAAGCCTTAGTGTCTGTTAAGAAGCCATTGAAGGATTCTATCTCTTGTGTTGCTCTTTTGGACAGAGTTTCGCATTTAAGGGCATCAGAGAGCAATTCATCAACCTGACAAACAAAAAGAATGTGAAAACGTTAGAAGAGTATGTTTATGTTACACAGACAGAAAAACTGACTTTTCAAAATAATTTTTAAGCATATATAGTCCTTCATACTGGAACTGATTCAGGGATCAGCGAGCCACTATCGTTTGTGCACAAACGAATGAGTTACATTCCAGTTCAGGAAAACACAAAGATATTCTGTTTTCGCCTTATTTTATAACTGCAATATTCCAATTGCTGGTTACAAATTGAGTAGACAATAAACAGATAAGCTCTACAAAAACATATCAACAAAATCAGGAAGGTGGTTTCTTAAGCACCACCTTTCTGAAACTAGTAGTACACAAGTATTCAAGCACATCACCACCAACTCGCCAACCCAAATCGCCAATAATGCAGGCAAACGCGAATACCAATCTAATTTGACCAGATAGTTCGAACGACAATTCATTTTGTTAAAGGACGCACGGGTTCCGACTTCACGAAATCAGCAAGTACCAAAGGAGATGAAGATCGGAGAGCTAGGGTTCCGAGTGGAGGGGGGTCGACCTGGGAGATGATGACCGCGAGGTCGGTGCGGGCGAGGAGGAGTCGGTCAAGCGCCGCGTCGACCTCGGCGGCAGTCGCCGTGGCGGCAGGGCTGGCGGCGGCGGCGGGAGGAAGGGGCTTGCCGACCAGGGATTTCAGCGCCGGGCGCGCCCTGTTGCCGGAGAGGACGCTGAGCGGGCGTCGCGGCGCCGTCGAGTTGGCTCCGAGGCTATCCTGTATAGTAGTACACAAGTAGTCAAGCACATCACCACGAATTTGCCAACCCAAATCGCGAGTAGTGCAGGCAAGCGCAAAAACCAATCTAATTTGACCAGATAGTTCGATCGACAATTAATTTTGTTAAAGGACGCACAGGTTCCGGCATCACGAAATCACCAAGTACCAAAGGAGATGAAGATTGGAGAGCTAGGGTTCCGAGTGGAAGGGGGGTCGACCTGGGAGACGATGCCCGCGAGGTCGGTGCGGTCGCGGTCAAGTGCCGCGTCGTCCTCGGCGGCGGTCGTCCGGGCGGCAGGGGTGGCAGGGGCGGCGGGAGGAGGGGGCTTGCCGATCAGGGATTTCAGCGCCGGGCGCGCCTTGCTGCCGGAGAGGACGGTGAGCCGGCGCCGCCGCGCCGTCGAGTTGGCTCCGAGGCTCTTCTGCATAGTTGGGGAGAGAGACAGAGGGGGGGCGCAACGGTCGGGAAGGGAAGGCTCTGGAGTGACGGGGAATTTGAACGTTGCTTTAGAAGTGTTTTGGGCAAGAGCCCAAGAGGCAAGAGCTAGGCGCCCGAGCCGACCGGCAGTAATTTTTTTCTGTTTTTTTTTCTGGCCTATGTAAAGATTTGTGCCGTGGAAGTCTGGATTCATCGTTGTGGCTCCTCAAACCACAAGACATAGGAACGAGAATTCAGATCCTAATTTGTCTACCTTTTTTTAATTCTGCAAAATTCAGGTTTCAGTCTCGTTATTAAAAGCATTGACGACTCAAAATTTGAAGGTTTTGAACTACAGGGTAGATGCAAGATGCGAATGAAAAGAAGTTTGGTGCCGATTTTTAGCAATATACCCTGCTGGTGCCTGGACGTCCGATCGGACATCGATCTGTCGAACGGTATCGTGGACCGGGCCGATTCGTATCCTCAACGCGCGCCTGCACTTCGTGCCCCGCCCGTGCCTGCTTTTCGCGCGCCTACCTAGGGGCCCACGCCCGTGGGGATCGCTGGCGCCTCCTCCCGCTTCCCATGTACATCCCATGCTTAGCACTCATGTTCCTGTTTCTCTTCCCGTTCACGTACCTGGAATGGGAACGGGAACTTAGGGTATCATTTTATAACGTGGGAACAGGAACGTTCCCGAAACGTGGAACATGGGAACGGGAACGTGGCCATGTTCTCGTTCCCCAGGCTACTAAGATCCCATGTGCAACTCCCGATTTACTTTTGAAATATCCAGATGCAATACTTGCAACACACGTCTGAAACCAGACGAAACACTTGAAAACCATTGCAAACATATGCAACATCTAGATAAAATACTTGCAACATCCAGATAAACACACTTGCAACATATGTCTGAAAAAACAGATGAAACATTGGGGGATAAACGCTTGCAACATATGCGACATCCAAATATACATTTACAACATCATGATCTACTTTTGCAACATCCGTATGAAACACTTACAACATACCTCTAAAACATCTGAAACATTTGAATTGTACACTTGCAACATGCATTGTGTCGGTACAGAAAGTGACCAACTAGTGAATATTTGTAGTTTTGTTGTACGTTGTGATCGGAGGTGGCCTAGCACTCAATGACACAGGATATATACTGGTTCAGGCAACGTGCCCTACGTCCAGTGTGGGTCGGTCGGTGACTTTATTCCTGAGCCCAGTTGCTCGAAGTCTGTAGTGGGGTTACAAACGAGAAGGAGAAATGAGGGGTGTACGAGAGGCCCGATCGGGTCCGACCGGAAGGGCCGAGGGCGACCGGAACTCCGTTATGAGCTAGGTGTTCAAGCGTGTGCTTGATGGGTTGTGAGTTATCGATATAGTGAATCTAAGCTTGAAGAAGAAGCGTCCTCCTCCATTGGAGGGAGCACATCCCCTTTTATAGATAAAGGGGATGGCTTTACAGATGAGAGAGAGAGTATGGATATTTCTAAGCCTTGTTGCCCACGCCGACGAGGGTAGCGATGATGGTAGGCGCCCACAATACTGTTGATGTCACTGTAGAATGTCAGGTGCACATGGGAGGTTGCGTTGGCTTCTTCAGGAAGGGTGGATGTCGGTACCTGCAAAATACTATTGTTACGTGAGGAGCCCTACCCTATGTACCAGGTATGGTGAACCCTGACGCCCACTGTCGGTGTCCAGAGGCATGGGGGAGGCTTTTTGGCGTATGGAAGTCCGACGGTGCTTACAATACTGTAGATACCAATGTCGGTGCCTACAATACTGTTTTGTGTCAGGACGGTTGTGGAGTACTGTTTCCGCAGGTGTACAGGGTATGGCCCCTGGTATCGTGGGTTGACTTATGCGCTGCGTTCTCCGTTCGCCCCTGGTCCTTTCCGAGCGGGCGTCCCCGGTTGGATGGCTCTAGTCGGCCCTGGCCGCGCCAGTCGGAGAAGAGCGGTACGCCGGCTTCCTACGGGTCCCCGGTCGGAGTCATGGGGTCGGAGTAGGAAACGTTTGGGCCAGGCCTTCCGATCGGAGAGACTGCCCGGAGGCGGCTGGTGCCCGAGGCGTGCGCTCCAGTCGGAGGTGGGCCGAAGAGGTTGATGAGCGGGCGTTCCTTCGGGCGGACCTTCCGGTTAGCGACCGGACTGTCCTTCCGGCCCGTCATATTCTTAGACCTTCGGGCCGGCCCATGAACAACATGCCGTTTTCCTAGGCCGAGCCCTGGCGCGGAAGCCGGTCCCCGAGGGACCCCGGGTTTGTGAACCCGACACATTATATCCCCTTGCGGCCTCCTTCGTCATCTGCATCAGGGAGCCGGCGCACCGCAGCCGTAGCAGCAGGCGAGGCTAGATGACTTCCGCGCTAGGACCCGACGCTTCTCCTTGCGCTGGCTGTGCCTGTCGGCGTCATTGGGCTTGGGAGGCAGCGAAGCAGGAGCAGCGTGGCGGGCACGCGGAACAGGAGCAACGGGACAGGGTGGCGGAGCAGGAGTGGCGGGGCGGGCGCGTGGAATAGGAGCGATAGCAACGAGGCAGCGACAAAGGAGGAGCGGGAGGGGCGAGCAACATGAGAACGGAAGTAACGAACACGGGAGGTCTATTGGGCTGGTATGCAAGTCCATGAAAAGAGCGTCCGGACGGAATGGACGCCCTACACACAACATTTGATGTGCTTGGTAAAATATCCTCGAAGTTGAGAAATCATGAGACGAGGAAACTCGTCTAAAAGCCTTCTCTGCTGGAAGGAACCAATACAAGAAGATCCTATTACTTTCGTCTAAAAAAAGATCTCTAAATAGAACTACTATAGAAAATAGTAGTTTTTTTAAATTACACAGTACAACGTAGACGTCCACACACGCAGGCACACTCACCCCTATGAACACACGTACGCAAACTCTACCTCTATGAGCACCTCCGATGGACTGAGCCGACAGATCTCGAGATTCACGAAATCTTGATGGAGACGTCGCCTACCACTGAAAGCATAGCGCCGGTAAATCCTAAAATAAATCCAGAAAAATACGAGCACCCATGTTAAATCAAGAACTTAAATCTAGATGGGCAGGTTCCACCACAATAAACCCAGCCAACTGATCTAATCAGTTCGCAAAATAGTAGTTTTTTTAACATAAAGCGTCATAAGCATGCCCTCGGCTTCTTCTATGATCAATTTCATGACCTTGATTTATAATACCTTCTCGATAATGTGATGGAAATTTTGCTTTCCGCCTTATCCAACTCCCATCTTCCTGATAGAGTTCACAGCTAGAATGGGGCACTTTGCACTTACACCAAGTCTATCTAAAATTGACAGCACCGTCGTTTCCTCAGATCATCCAACGCTAGCACAGCTTGAAGCCTTGAATCGATTTCTTCACAATGCATAATGGTGGATCGAATAGCAAGCTTCATCAAACAGAAATCAGTTCAAAACAGCAGGAAAGAGAATCCCACACAACGTGACAGAATGAAGCTTCACAGGGTACATACTACCAAAACAGGCGAAGCAAGCAAGGCCCGCGTACAAAGTGTTTGCCAAAATGACGCAACGAGACATCCGCCGCTCGCGGTCCGTCGCCTCAGTCGCGGAGCACGACGGCCGGATCCTTGGACGGCGCGAGGTCTCCCCCAGCAGCGCCGGGGTCGTCGGACGCGTCCCTTGCCGCGGCGGCGGCGGCGGCGGCGGTGGGGTCGGGGTCGCGGGCGGAGTCCATGGCCTCCTGGGCCTGGTCGAGGTAGGGCTTGAAGCCGACGCGGAACGAGAGGTAGCCGAAGGCCACGGCGCCCAGCACCACCACCCCCGAGCGCATCGCGTTCTGCCGCGCCCGGCTCCCGCCCGCGCCCATCGCCGCAACGGACGCGCTGCGCACCTGGCCTGGCCTCCTGTCGACCTGAGAAGACAGAACGGTGGATGGATCCCTGATCCTTCCAAGCCTCCCTGGACTAGTGCAGTGCGAGTCTGTGGGTGGGTTCCCGACTTTGCGATGCCGGTGGCCCGGTGGGTGAGCGGGCGGGTGGCAGCCGCCGAGCTGCGGGCAGCGAAACGATGAAGAGCCTGGAACGTCGAACGAGATGTGTTATTATTCTTTTGATTTTGATGATGGAAAAAAAAAGTGCGGGGGGAGAAAGGAGACGAAGTCAAAAGGTAGGGAGAAAAACAATATAGGTAATTCAATCATTAAATTAAAAATATAAACGTGAAAATAAAACTGTTGCTGCCCAGGATCGAACTGGAGACCTTCAGTGTGTAAGACTGACGTGATAACCACTACACCACAGCAACTTTGATGCCGTCGTAAACAATTAGGTTTATATATATTAATCCTTATGCCAGATGTCAACAAGGGCACGAGGCTCAATTGTCTCTAGCATCCGCGGCATATATTACATAGAGTTAATAAGCATCTGCAAATTTCGTTTCTGGCACGATAAAATTCGATTAATAAGTGTTCATGTGCTAGCAAATTACTTGTACAAACGAATCATCCGATCACTATATATAAGTATTATTGTATATACATATAATTAAAGTTAACAAATCAAGCAGATAGAATTGGACGCGAAGTAATCTCTCAGTAAATTTGATACTTCCTTAGTTCTTGTTTCAAAAAAGATACAACATTTGTCAAAAAGATCTTGACCGCTAACAATCAAAGTGCAATGCATATATACGTGTGCTCCATGTTTGATCATTTTGAGTTATGAAGATGTTTCTATTTTCACATAACATGTGACCATGGTTCGTTGTTTATATAAGACAATGAATAAATTTGCATCAGAAAAGTGCAATCTATTATGGAATAAATCTACTACACTTTTCATCTATTTAAGCCAGGTTGGCTTAACTCGTTGCCTAGAAAATCAAAGGATGCTACCCCCTTATAAGTATAAAAAACCATTGATATAACCCATGTTTAGTGGTTTTAAACATGGCTTACCTACGTAGCGCTACTCGCGGTGATGATGTGGGAACAGTACACACCCCACAGTTTAGAGAGTCGTGTATATCTATGTTTTCCTCACCTCTAATCTCCTTTAATCGTTACATCAAATTTCTTCATTCACAATTCTATTGCCCAAGCTATTATTGCCACAGACAAATAAGATGAGTTTTTTTTGCGAGATCGAGTATAGACGTCAGACGCTCATATACACGAGCGTACACTCATCTCATCTGAACTCATGCACGTACACCCTACTCCTATGAGCATATTTGAAGAACTGAGTTGCACCGACAAATCTCAAGATTGACGAAGTTACCATGGGTGCCTCACTGTCGATGGATACGTTGCCTAGCACCGAAAAGAATAATGTCGTCAAATCCTAGAATAAATCCCGAAAAAAAACATGTCTTATCATGTGAAAAAGCAAATAAAATATTTTTCCTTGCTAACCTCGATATGGTGGTGGTTGACTTATATAGTTACCTTGGAATCATTCTGTGTCATAATCCTCATTGTGTGCTATGTAGGTAAAATCTATTCGCAATAATATTAAAGAACGAAAATTTATTTCTTTTGTCTGCCACTCTTCTCCCCATGTCATCTCTCACGGACTCTTTTTTCAAAGGGTTTGTAGCTACAAAACTACTCATGCCATGGTTTGGCCAACCCTCCAAGCTCCTTCACTTCATGGCATGTGTGTATGGTGTATAGCTTACATTCGACCTAGGCTTTGTTTAGATGGCGATTTTTTTTGGAAAATGGTACTGTAGCACTTTCGTTGTTATTTGACAATTAGTGTCCAATCATAGTCTAATTAGGCTTAAAAGATTCGTCTCGTGAATTTCGTCTAAACTGTGTAATTAGTTTTTTTATTTATATTTAATGCTTCATGCATGCGTCCAAAGATTCGATGTGATGGGGAATCTTGAAAAATTTTGCAAAATTTTGGGAACTAAACATGCACCTAAACTCGCAATAGGCGTAGATAATAACTATCTATTTAGGTTAAGTCAATTTTCAATATATGATTATTTTTTTATTGCACTGACATTTGATATGAACCTTGGAATTCTTTTAATCTAAATTGGACCAATCCTAAATAAATCCAACAAAAATAACTATCTCATTATTATTGGCATGGACATTGTGCAACAACGTCGTGTTGCAATTCACAAACACGTTTACTAGTTGCCTATAAAATGCTACGAAGGTTGTTTAAAATATTTTGGGATAGATACCTAATAGTTTCATTGCTGACGGGTTAAGTAGTCAACTTTGAATAAGTTGAGGGGTGAGACAGATTTATACATCTAGTCTAATCTATCATACACAGTAAGGTTGATTGGGTTATGGACTATCTCAAGGAAAGTAATGGTGTCTATATTTGTTAAATCATGCTTTTAGACTCTTCGTATAACCTTTTGACCAGGATTATAATTGTTTTTCTCTCGTCGACTTTCGTGCGAAACTTGGAATTTCATGTGGAAGAAACTGGATTGAACCATAATACCGTCATCACGGAGCACGGCCGCGGAGAATCCTTCTACACCGACAGGCGAGGCCCCCGTTCCGGCACGCGGCGAGCAATCTCAGCCGCTCGGTTGCAATCTCACGGCCGCGGGCAACAGCCGCCCCTCGCCCACGGTTGCAGAATCAATCCCGCGGACCCACGAAACCCGGAATCCCGAAAGTGCCCATCGGGCCACACAACTAGGCCTCCGAATCCCCATTAGAACGAGGCCTAGGGAGGTCATTTCGCGAAAGGATATGGGCTGGCGCGGTAGGACTGGGGAACTAGAAGTGCGGCTAGGGTTTGTACGTCCTCACACATTTCTCCCCCCGCTCTTCGTCTCCACCAGCTCTGCCTCCGGTCCGCCGCCGCAGAAAACCTTCGCCGCCTCCAGCTCCTTGACCTCGGCAGAGCCATGGCGATGAGGTCCGGCAGGCGGGTCTTGTAGCCAGAAGGGTCAGTTCCCCAGTCCCCACCTACAAGTACGCGAGTGTAGTGTGACCTTCGCCGCCGCCGTCTCCATGGCGACCATCAATCCCTTCGAACTCCTTGGCGCCGACGACAACGACGACCCCACGCAGCTGCTGGCCGCCGCCGCGGCAGCGAAGCAGAAGGCCGAGGCGAAGAAGCAAGCGGCGGGCGCGCAACCAGCCCCCGCCAAGTTGCCGACCAAGCCTGCTCCCCCCGCTCAGGCCGGTGAGTTCGGGTTCGGTTGCGTGGTTGTTGGATCTGGGGTTTAATAGAGTTTTTATCCTTACCCTGAGGCGTGGACTATGAAAATAGTGTTTTTTTTCCTGAACAATTTTAGGATATATATACTGCTGATTAGCATAGGCGATACATTAATTCGGATGCCATCTTAAGAAATACTACCTCCAGTCATAATCGGAGTAGTATTACCTTTGATGTTCGAAACAGTTAGTCCGATTTTAGCCAATTCAGCTTTTTTTTTTTTTGCACGGAATGCTTATGCTCTAAATGTTTCAGTGAAGGAGTCCCGCAGTGGTGGTGCTCCCTCCCGTGGAGGTTATGGGCGCGGCGAACGTGGTCGTGGCAGAGGAGGGCGTGGATATGGTCAGAATCGCGACTATGGCAGCGAAGATGCTAATGGGTTTCAGGGAGGATACGGTGCTGGAGGGGGTGCCAGAGCTGGAGGCGAAGAAGGTGCCCAGGATAGAGAGGGGGGCCCTCGTCCACCCTACCGTGGCGGCGGTGGAGGCCGGCGGGGTGGATACCGTGATGGTGAATTTGGTGATGATTCTGAGAGGCCACCTCGGAGGCCCTATGAACGCCATAGCGGTACTGGCCGTGGGTTTGAAATGAAGCGCGAGGGTTCAGGCCGTGGGAACTGGGGAACTACCACTGATGAAATTATTGCCCGGTAAGATAGCTATGTGTTTGTTGTATTAGCTGTTGAAGTGTACATTTGTGAAGATAGAACTAACATGTGCTGTTTGGGTGACCAGGGAAACTGAGGAAGGCCTGGAGCTGGAAGAGAAGGCCCCTGTTCCTGAGAAGCAGGGTGCACTGGAGGATACTGCACAGGCAGAGGAGAGCAAGGAGAACAAGGATGCCACAGCTAATGAGGAAGAAGAGAAGGAAGAGGATAAGGTATACTTCTGCATGCTTTGATCTTATGACCTAAAGGCTATGATTTTGTCGTTAACTTGCTTTTTTGTTTGATATTGAATTAATTTGAAATTAATATGTGGATCTTCTCCGGTTATTTAAATTTTAACATTGCAAGAACAACCTGCCACATTCATGGAACTGATGAAAATGTGTGTAACAGACAAGTTTTCCAGAAACTTTGAGTAAGGTAGACTCAATAGCCGTATGAGTTGCTATAACAGGTGATTAGCAGCAGCTGCAGTAATGTATTCCAGTGCAGTTACTTGACTTCAAATTTGCAACAGTTCTAATATTTTCTTACCCACATCTTTTATTCTATATGGGCAGTTTTAAGCTTGGTGATCATGACACCTGTTTCCCATAAGGAACTTTCCTTATTCATTATTGTACTATGTGTTTCCATGTTGATGATCGTCTGACCAAATTTTTTGATGATGTAGGAGATGACTCTTGAGGAGTTTGAGAAAATAAGGGAGGAAAAGCGGAAGGCACTTCTTGCCCTTAAGACTGAAGAGAGGAAGGTTGAAGTTGATAGGGACCTGCAGTCTATGCAGCCGCTTGCAAACAAGAAAGGAAATGATGAAATTTTCGTAAAGCTGGTAAATTGTCATTACGCCTTAATCTTTTCTGCTCTTGTAATGTAATGGAGATGTCCAAGATTGATTATTATTTTCTTGGCAGGGTTCTGATAAGGATGCTCTGAAGAAGAAAGAAAATGCTGAACGTGATGAACGTGCTAAGAAGGTATTGCATCTCTAATTGTTCTGATTTCCTCTTATCAAGCTGCTGAAAAATTCTATTTTTTTTATTTCCACACTGGTGAAATTGTCAACAGCCAGTTAATGCACTGTCTTTTTTGAACTCCATGAACACACTAAAATTTACTCTCTTGGATTCATTTGCCATTCCTTTGTCCTGTGTCTAACTGTGCTATAGTGATTTGTCCTGCTTGTGCATTCAATCAGATCACCGGGTTCACACTCTTTTTTACTGTATATCTACCCCAAATGAGGGAATGATTCACTTGTTTTTTTTTCTCTTGCAGTCGGTGAGCATCAACGAGTTTTTGAAACCAGCTGAAGGAGAAAGGTACTATGGTGGGCGTGGTCGTGGCAGGGGCCGTGGAGACCGCGGAGGGTTCAGAGGGGGATATGGTGGGGGTTATCGCGCTCCACCAGCTGCTCCTGCAATTCAAGACCAATCCCAATTCCCTTCGCTTGGTGGGAAGTGAAAACACATCTGGTACCTGAAAACGCATATCATCTTTGCTGTGTCAAAGTCGGGTTCTGTTTCGCAGATTACTGCTCCACTGCTAAAGTGCTAATCAGACATAATGCTGTCACATGTTTATTCCCTGCTGTGAGTCGACTTTGTATGTCAGAGTTGTCTGTCAGAATTTTGTTAGGCTATTTGCCATTTTACTCGAGAACCAGTCATGAGTTACCAGCTTTGTTTCTGTTTTGTGGTTATATTTGCAGTTCTTTCTGGAAAGCCTATCGATTGTCTTAACAGTAATGTACTATGGAAAATCGGCAGTAGAACTGTGATTTCGTGATTTTCTATGGCACATGTATACGACACACACAGGCATGCCATCGGTTATACACGGTAAGATCACACGACTAGCACAACACACATGTTATGGTGTGTGCGTCAACGTATGACGGATCTCACATGTACAAATGTAGCTGAAGTGCGGTGGAATCCGTGACTTCCAGTGCATGATCTCGTACGTCCCTTCTCCCTTGCGGCGGCCGGTCGTTCCCAGCCAGGAGGTCTACGAAAGTGATCTTCGGGACCTCTTCCTGGGCAGGACCTCTCTGAACGCGATAATGATGCGGGACCGCTCGCCACCGAAAAGAAAATCATCGTAGAGCATGTCTAGCAGACTATCTAAATAGACTAGCTATCCCTAATTTGGGTAGTATATAAAGAACTCCCTCAAACCAACTCATCAGACTCCACCTACTTGCTGTCTCTATTGTTGATTTTTTTTTTTAGCTATTATATTTTTTGTGTGAAAATTCAAAATTTATCTCTGGTATGGAATGAATTTTAAAACGGTAAACCGACGAGTAAGATTTTGATGCATGTGCAGTGCGTTGGTGGATTACCCATCGGGTATGTACCGTTGCCATCTTGAGCGATAATGATGCGGGACCGCGCCACCCAAAAAAAAAAAATCATCGTGAGAGCATCTCCAGTGAGACTATCTAAATAGACTACCTATCCCTAATTTGGGTAGTGGGGGACAGAAAACCAACTCCAACAGACTACCTATTTGCTACTCGAATTTTTTATTTTTAGCCTTTTTTAAAAAAATTCACAAATTTGTCTCTGGAGGTATGATTTCAAAATTGGATTAGGGGATCTCGGTGGCGCGAGATTACACGCCTGAGCGCCATAGAAAGAAAAGGAGGTCCCACGTTGGCGGCGTGGACGCTGACATGCTAGCTAGCTTGGCGCCGTGATTATTGGGGATCTCGGGAGCGGTAGAGAGAGAGAGGAAGAGAGAAAGAAAGGGAGGGCCCATACGTAAGACAGTGCTTGGCGTCAATAATCACGGCGCCAAGATCCACGACGTCGAGCTTGGCGCCAGGATCCACGACGCCGAGCTGGCTGCCATGTCAGCGTCCATGCCGCCAAGGTGGCCCCGATCTAGGCGCCAGAATCTATGGCGCCGAGACGTGTAAGCTCGGCGCCACCAACGATGGCGCCAAGCTAAGGGTCCAGATTTTGAAATCATACCTCTAGGGGCATATTTGTGATTTTTTTTTAAAAAGGGCTAAAAAATAAAAAATTCGGCCGCCAACGTGGCCTCGACCTAGGCGCCAGAATCTATGGCACCGAGACGTGTAATCTCGGCGTCATCAACGATGGTGCCGAGCTAAGGGTCCAGATTTTAAAATTATACCTCTAGAGGCATATTTGTGATTTTTTTAAAAAAGGCTAAAAAATAAAAAATTCGGCCAAATCTCCCTTCCCACTACCCATTCCTGTTGGGCCAAAGAGACTACCCAAAAATCTGCTTGTCCATTTTATCTCCCCATGCGTGTGCCCGCGCGCAACTTCCCGTGCCGCCGCTCCAACCAGGTCGCCGCCATTCCTTCTCCTAGCTTCGCTGGCGTGTCGAGGATGGTTGCGACCGGATCCGACCATCCCTAGCCACAAGCACACCCCACCAGCGCTCCTCGACGGCACGACGGGCATCCATGGTGGCTCCCCAGCACGACGGCCGTTCCCAACGCCGGCGGCCTGCCCCGACATGTCTTGGCCAGCGCGGTGGTCTGCCCTGCATCCCCAGCGGGCTAGCTGCCCCGCATCCCCAACACGGTGGTCATCCCCGATGCCGGCGGCCTACCCCAACGTGGGCGCAGCTGCTTGGCGTGGTGGTGTTCCCCGACATGGCCTGGTCAGCGCGGTGGCCTGCCCCACATCGCTAGCGCGGTGGCCGTCTCCGGCATGTCTGCTCCGTCCGACTATGGGAAGAAGAACACTAAGAGAATGACATATGGGACCCGCATGTCATTCTCTATCAGGATGGATTTGGGTAGCCTATTTTAGGTAGTACTGCTGGAGTTGGAGGCGAAATATGGGTAGTATGAAAATGGGTGGCTACCCAAATAGACATTTAGGTAGTCCGATTTGGGTAGTATTGCTGGAGATGCTCTTATCCCTCGCTTCCTCCTCATCCTTATCCCTTTTGCCCTCATGCCCTGCCCCACCCCGACGTGCGGCCATGGCCGCCTGCCTAGTCGGTGGCGGTGCCCTCACCCACCCCGTGCGTGCGCGCTCCCCTAAAAGGTCCTAATGGCTAGAGGGGGTGAATAGCCTATTAAAAATTTCTACAACAACATTTAGCAAACTGGTTAGACAAATATGAGGCAAAGCGAGTGTTGCGCTAGCGTACTAAAAATGGAAGCCACCTACCACAATTTTAGTGACTATAATCTCTAAGCATACAAAGGCAATGTCACTACACTAAGTTAGTGTGTTCTCAAAGACTAACTAAAGAGCCACACTAACCACTAGACCCGACACAAGCTTGCTCTCAAAACTAAATATACTAAAGAGCGAAGCAACACTAGAAATGTAAATACAAGCGAGAGGATGTGATGATTATACCGCCGTGTCGAGGAATTGAACCAATCACAATATGATGGAGTCAATCAATCACAATCAATCAAGAAATCCTCGGAACAAGATGACATAAATTTTTTTTACAGAGGTTCACTTGCTTGCCGGCAAGCTAGTCCTCGTTGTAGTGATTCACTCACTTGGAGGTTCACGTGCTAATTGGCATCACACGTCAAACCCTCAATAGGGTGCCGCACAACCAACACAAGATCAGGATCACACAAGCCATGAACAATCCACTAGAGTACCTTTTGGCTCTCCGCCGGGGAAAGGTCGAGAACCCTAACAATCACCACGATCGGAGCCGAAGACAATCACCAACCTCCGCTCGACGATCCTCGCTGCTCCAAGCCATCTAGATGGCGGCAACCACCAAGAGTAACAAGTGAATCCTGCAGCGAAACACGAACACCAAGTGCCTCTAGATGCAATCACTCAAGCAATGCACTTGGATTCTCTCCCAATCTCACAAAGATGATGAATCAATGATGGAGATGAGTGGGAGGGCTTTGGCTAAGCTCACAAGGTTGCTATGTCAATGCGAATGGCCAAGAGAGTGAGCTAGATCTAGCCAAGGGGCTTAAATAGAGAGCCCCCACAAATAGAGCCGTTGGGCTCCTCACAGCAGCTTCCTCGAGGTGACCAAACGCGCCGGTCAGATCTACCGGATGCACGTCACTAGCGTCCGATCGCCCGATTGTAGCCATGTGTAACTGCAATTCAACCACGAACGTCGATCTCCAACAGCTAGCTGTGCTCACGCCACGCGTCAAGTGAGGACCGGACGCTCCCAACACGGGATTGGACGCGCCGGTGCCAGCCTCGCCCACGCGCCGCAACACATGACCGGATGCACCGATCAACTACAGCGCCCGCGCGTCAGGTCATTTCTAGAGAGCTCCCCGAGTGCCAAACTCATGACCGGACGTGTCAGGTGCACGTGACCGGACGTGCCATCGCGTCAAGTCTCCATCGCGCTCACTCAGCCGCTTATGTCACTATATGTCGTCGTTGACCGGATGCACAAGCGTCGTGTCAGGTGACCACTTGCGCCCGCGTCCGGTCAGAGACCAACAACGTGCCTCCTTAGCCCAACACTGATCGGAATCACAGGCCTGCGTCCGGTCACACCGAGAGCAGCGTCCGGTCACTGATTTCAATGAAAATCACCTCCTTCGCTTCACCAACTTATCCACCCTTGCTCAAATGTGCCAACCACCAAGTGTATCACCTTGTGCATGTGTGTTAGCGTATTTTCACAAACATTTTTAAGGGTGTTAGTTCTCCACTAGATCCTAAATGCATATGTAATGAGTTAGAGCATCTAGTGGCACTTTGATAACCACATTTTGATATGAGTTTCACCCCTCTTAATAGTATGGCTATCAATCCTAAATGTGATCACACTCGCTAAGTGTCTCGATCATCAAACCAAAATGCTCCTATGGAAATTCACCTTTGCCTTGAGCTTATTGTTTTTCTCTTTCTTCTTTTCCAAGGCCAAGCACTTGATCATTATGGCCACCACACCATCATCATGATCTTCACCATTGCTTCACCACTTGGAATGTGCTACCTATCTCATTGATCACTTAGATAAACTAGGTTAGCACATAGGGTTTCATCAATTCACCAAAACTAAATTAGAGCTTTCAATCTCCCCCTTTTTAGTAATTGATGACAACCCTTTCACAAAGATATGAATTGAAATTCATTTGAATCCATGTTGCTTGCCCAAGCATCTTTACCATGTGTAAAAGGATATGGACAAGTTTCATGAACCCTAATTTGTAGCATTAGCTCTCCCTACATATGTGCTAAGAGTTTAGATTGAAGCTTGCACATATGCATGAATTGGAAATATGGGAGGGCAATGTCTACCAAATGATGCTAAGGTATAAGAGATGGACCTTTGAAGCGTGATACCAATCGGAGTGCACCATTATACCATCCTTAGCACCATTAGTAACTAAACATTCACAAAAACTAGAATACCCCGTGAGATCAACATTAGAAGCAAGGGTCTAGTTTTCACAATATAAACACAAGTCTAGTTACTCAACCTATGCATGCTAGTTTTTTCATTTTATCAAT